CTGCAGCTCAGAGCCAGGCTGGGATTGGCTCAGCCCTGCCTTCTCCTTAGCCATCTACCTCAGAGAGGCAGGGGAGAAGGTGAGGTGGGAACGCACTCCCCTAGGTGGAGTCTGCCCAGCATGGTGCAGAGAGGACTGGGTGACAAAGCGGGTGGGGGGGCAGCAAGCCTGGCTGGGGATGCAGCCCAGTCTACAGAGGTGGGAACTGTCCCCTGGGAAAACCCCAGCTGGGGTCTGGGGCCAGGGAGGGCTTTTAAACACCCTTTCCCCTGCTCAAACTTACTGTTGGCTGCAACTGTGGATTACAAATCCCAGAGGCACCTGGAAGCAGGAAGAGGAAGTGATGAGCAACCCTGCAGAGTTCTGCTGTTGTCCTGCTGGACTGCAAATCCAAAAGACCTCAGGGGTAGCAGGAAGAGGAAGTGAACACAGCCAGAGAGCCATGCTCTAGCGCCCCCCTGTGTTCTGACCCGAGCTACTACAGGCATGTGACTGCACTTCCTGAATGAAAGGTAAATGTCTGTTCACTTCTATTTCAATTTAGTCTGTGCAGTTTAGACTAATGTGTAAAGATTGAATTGATTCAACCTTGGGCTTTTTGACTGTCTGTACCTAGCCTGTTAGCCTGAACTGTTATTGGTTCAATCTATACAGCTTAGAAAAAACTGTGAAGATTGAATCAATTTTGTCGTGGGTCTTTTGAACCTCTGTTCTTAACCCCCATGTAATGTACATACCTGAATAAAGAATTAAGCTGAGGGTAATCAATAGGAGGATCACTAGAAAAACTGCCAGTATAAGCATCCACAGCTTACATTTCCAGAAAACTACTTTGCTACACGGTCTCCAGATTCTTTCCTAGTCACACAAAGAATAAAAAGGAAATTTATATTAACAAATAAAGATGGGGGACCCCCCCCCCAACACAAGATTAAAATTTGAAAACAGATAATGCTATCTAGCTCTACGTTTTCACTGTGCCTTTTCTTATTCACTCAAGGGTATCAAAGTACTTCCAAAATTATACACCTAGCTCTATCTTAATAAAAAGATGGCCAAATTCACGCATACGAGGTCACACAGTAGCAAAACCAATTAATAGAAGGACCGACCTAGCCTTCTTTTTAACTGAGAGATGAAAACCAGGAGCTGTTGTGTACTATTTAGTCAACTGTCAAATGTGTAGGTTTGTTTCTACAAAAGGCAGACCTGCACCTTTGCAACTTTTCAACCAAATGTTCAATTTTAACCTGATTCAGCTAAGTTAGCTCAAAAGGTTGCATAAATACACTTGGCACATCCAGACAAGCACAAACATGCAGTATGTGGTGCCACAGATCCATCTGCAGCACCCACATCACACATGCATTTTCAGCACAGGGAGGTTGGTTTTATTTTGGTGTGGGTTTTTTGAACACAGGATCTCCTAGGACAAAAAAAAGTGGGGCTGTGCATGTAGCAGCAGAGCACGCTACCCAAAACTGGAGCCTGGCTGACCAGAGCTGTGCTCCAACTACTGGCCAGGGTTTCTGCTGCAGGAGTGCCGCAGCTACAGCTCCCAAAGGCCCCCAGGATACCAGGTAAGGCTGCTGGAGCCAGCACAGTTGCTGACCCCAGCCTCCCCTACCCCACCCAGGGTAACCTGCCATGTACCAGAGCACGTGTGGCACAGGCATTCCCCGGGAAAAAGTAGCAGCCTTGTGCCACCGCTGCTTGTCCCTGGGGGAAACACGCTTTCCCAGTCATCTGGACGCACCCACTCATCTTAAATGAAATAGGTTTAACTTAAATACACCTGCATGGGTGGAAGATCAGTTTTATTAAATACCTTTAATATAAATCTGTCTGGTGAGAGTTACTGCCTTGATAAAAAGTCTAAGTTCCTTGAACCATTGTAACTAATGTGAAAAAGGTGGAAAACTATAGGCACATCAGGGATTTGATCAGAGGTTCACAGAAGTCACCAGGAAACTCAGGTCTTGCAGGTCTTGGTTACCTGCATAATGGATAACTATTATAGGAGTTTACAAAGTCTGGAGGATGCAGCTATTTGCCAGTTATTCAGTTGGTTACCCCTCCCGCAAACACTGCAAGCTACCCTAACACAAGTGGACTCGTGTATCATAGAATCTTTCTAATGGTGAGTACATACAGCAGTTCAATAGGAAATTGTGCTCAGCACACAATGTCCACTTGCTAAATACCTTTAAGTATAGCTGTTTGGTTTAAATACTTTACAGACTATGAGGGATTCATTTAAAAGCTTCCTGGTTTCCTAGGATCAGAAATAATCAGCAATGGTATTTGTACATTTCACAGCATTTCCAAGTTTCTTGAACCAGACCATATAGCCTGTTGCAGTTTACAGAGTCCACGAACTGCCTCTTGAGTGTTTGCCTGTTCTGGTATACTAAGGAGGAGGAGTTTACAAAAGTATTCACAATCTAACTAAAACATTAGGCCACAGAGTTTTCAAATATAAACACAGAGAGCAAATAATTCTAAGTTAACCTCTCCATTTTCTAAAATAGAGTGGTATATACTAAACCTTGCTCAGAAAAAATGCTTTTTTTTTTTTATTTTGCTTTTTTTTTTAAGTTTTAGGGATTTTGGTTGTAGCCGTGTTGGTCTAAGGACATAGACAGGCAAGGTTCTTTCAGCAGATATGGTATCTTTGATTAGACTAACTAAATAGTTGGAAAAAGTTCTTTGCGACCTTTTAGGCACAAACACCCTTCCTTCAGGCATTGGGAGACTCTGCTGTTGTTCTGAGTTCTCCACGGTAGAAAAGAAGCTAAAAGTGTGACAAGAAGCCTGTGAAAATGTAAATGGGTGAAAGTTCAGAAGACTTCATAGATTTCATAGACATTAGGGCTGGAAGGGTTCCCATTAGGGATCATCAGGTCCAGCCCCCTGCCCCAAGGGGCAGGACGTCAGCTACAATGGGTAGAGATAGGAGGGGAGGGAGGGAATGTGTGAAGAATGCAAATGGTAAGCTTCAAGCAGGTACCTGCTGAATCAGATGTCAGGCAGGTTGTAATGTGTCATAAATCCAATGTCTATATTAAGTCCATGATTTTTTGTATCCAGTAGATTTATGAAGTGAAGTTTGTAGGCTTGTCAACAAAAGGTGTTTTGTAAATTCCCTTTGAGGATTATAACTGAAAGATTGGCGAGGGAATGATCGATCATCTTGTGAGAAGCGTATGCCCACAGGTAACTGGATATTTTTATTTTGGATGGATTTTCAGTGTGTTCATTTTGGTATGCAGTTCTAATTTCTCAGTTGTAATCCTCAAAGGTAACTTACAAAACAACTTTCACAGACGAGCCTATTGGGATTGGGAGTTGGGATAGGAGTTTGTAAAAAAAAAATAGAAACAAATAATAACAAATGTTTACAGATAGATTCACACCACTGGATGAATTAACATTTGGTAGTTTTCCCTTTTTAGGAAAGAGTTTCAAGAATAAGGAGAAAATGAGTGGGGCATGCTATAGGGCATATTTATCTGAAAGATATAATATTTTAATTTGAATATTTACGTATGCAACTGAATTTAACACTGAAAATTAATTGGAGTTTGGTTTTTAAAGAAAGTCATAGATCTTTCAAATCAATACTTTGCACCCATGTCTCATGTTTTATCTGCCAATCATGTTTACTAATTGTTGCTTAAAACAATTCTGTAAACTCAGCAGGCATAGTTCCCATTTTAAGTTTGGGACAACTAAGGAAAACACTTGCCCAAGGAACAGAATTTCTACTTCGGTTTCCAGCCATCTGCTAAAGCCATTACAAAAATGCTGCTTCCACTAAACATGTGTACACTGACATGACCTCAGGTACGTACTCAGATCTGACCCCTCCCTACAAAACGAACACACACCCTCTACTTATGAGCAATTGATGTGTCAGAGCTCAGGTGGGGAGCAGCTGTGGAAAGTTTTGCAAAGTTTTCTAGTCAGATATACTGGAGCAGATCAATAAGAGAAATGCCCAAGCAGGAGCCAGGAGTAATAGCATCCACAACAATATATATCATTAGTCTGCTTACTAACCAATTGTTCAGTGGAGTTAGGGCCATATACATTCAAACAAAACCTTACTTGCAGCAGTCTGATAGGTAAGGAACCCAGACTTGGATTTAAAAACCTGGATTAAAATTTGGCTTTGCCACAGCCTGAGAGAGAGAGATTGTTTTTCACCCAAACTGAAGCCTGGGGGTCACTGAAACTTCTCAGTCTCCTCATCATACAAATTAATAAACTCTGTAGCACCTGCAAGCTGTGACCACAGACAGGCCCGGTCTAGAAATTTGCTGTGCTATTATTTGGACAAATATAAATACATTTATATTTTGTTTGGTGATGGGTTTTATCAACTAGTATTGATCATCTCTAATTGTCATTGCTTCTGATCATCTCTAATTGTCATTGCTTCCAGTTCCATGCACATTAAGTTGTATATTAAAGGACAATCAATAATTTGATTTACATTGTGGGAGAGGACAAATTAAAAAAAAAATCCCACTATTAATACCTTTTCCTAGTATGCTATTTCTAAGTGAAAAAATGGTTTGAATTTCAATATCCCTTTCACATATGCAAAATGCAAGACACATCAAAAAAGGAAAGTGAAACTAATAAAATAAACAGGCTGCTTTCCCTTCGCTCAGGAAAAATGAAAAAAGAACTTTATTCCCCAAATCCTGCTGCCATCCTAGCAGATGTCATTAACAGAGGTGAGAAAACACAAAACTAAGCCTCAAAACCTTGCTTTTAAAGTATAAGAACACATTAAGGAGGCAAGTGGCATTTAAGCATAAGTGAACAAAAAATGTTATGAAACAGTTTTACAAAAAGCTCCCATGACCCTGAAATGCTCCTTTACTTCATTTTCTCTGTTTAGGTAACGTCTTTATAAGCACAAAGCAAATGACAAAGTCCTACCTTACTTTTTGTAGATTCTTCAGGTTTAAGCGGGTCCTTACTTTTTGCCTCATCTTCCTCTTCATTCAGTTCTTCTCTTGCTTCTTGTAATTCAATAACCTGATAACCCTGCTCAGGAACATGGCCATTCACAGTTTCCATGTCTCTGTGAGAAACTGACTTTAAGGCAAGTCCTGAGAAAAAGCTCACTTCTTGTTGTGGTCACAGTTATCTCACTATCAGTTTAGCAAGGAGGTTTGAGGCATTGACAGCGAGGTCAGCATAGTTAAACAGGCGAGGGATATCGCAACTGTGACAAACAAGGGGAAATCCATCTGTGAGTGTACCCTCTGCAAAGGAAAGGGATGGGACAAAAGTCTTGACTCTGGAAACAGGCTCTCATTCTCTAGCTGTGCAATACAGGATTTTCCAGTTTGGTTACCTTACTACATCAGCCCTCAGCAAGCATGAGCAGGCAAGTGACCCTGGGGCAAGAGTGTGTCCCTGATAAAACAACCAAGCAATACTAAAACAAATACAGTTTGTATTCCCAGCATCCACCACCCCACAACAGGACAAACAAGCAAAATCCTCTCTGTCTCACAAGCATCAGTTACTGGAGTGCACACATCTGGTATCCTGTCAAGTTGACTGGAGGGTCATACTGTGCTTCATGTTACTTAATCTTAGACCGGAGATGCCCTTCGCTGTCACAGACCCCATTAGAAGGCTGCCATGGGGAGCATGCGTTTAGAGAGAGAAGGGCTCAGAATTTGATCTTGACAGGGCTCAAGACCGTCAGTTTGCCTACTTAGGTAAACTACTGTAAAATAAGGTAGGATGCAGATCTGGCTGCTTCATCATGTGAAACCTCAGCTCGCAGCACCTTTGGGCTACGCAACTGAACCCAGCTCCCCAGTCCCCCATTTTTTTCTCACTATGCCAAGGTGCTCCCTGTGCACCCCCACTCCTCTTTTTCCCCCAGACCTTCCTTTCCTTCACTGCCAGTTTGGTATGCCATGAGTATTTCTTTTTTCTCCTCTATCCAAAATACCTTTCTTCCACATGGCTGAAAAAAGTTTGACAGAGGGCTGGTGCTTGCTTTTATGTTCAGTCTCTCTGAAGGTCCCTTCCACACTCAAGTGTGGGGGGAGTTAGTGCATGAGGAGGAAGTTAGGAAGAAGAGAAGCTTCTTTCACCCTCCTCTCCCTTTCCCCTGCTGGCTAAACATCCAGCTCACTGCAAGGAGAGCAAAAGTAACATTAAGTGTTAATGGCTTTTCCAACTTCCATCACACTTACAATATAGTTCTGTCCACTGATTCTCTCAAAATCAAGATTTCTAGTTTTCAGGGATCAGCTTTCAAAGCTAGCTACATCCATCCATCCAATCATACAGCTGCCATCAAGCTTGATTGTAGTCTTGCTTTCCTTGTCCAAAACCAGAAAGACCCTTTAAATTTATGCAGCACCTTTTGCCTTAAATGACATCAAAGAGCTCAGCAGAAGAAACAAGTGCAAGTTATATGTCTTACTTTAGGGTGTTGATTCAGATCATTTCTACCTCCAATGGTCTCCTGGAATGTTTTGGTACTCCTTTCAGATCTCAGTTGCTTAATCCAGTGACTAGTTAGAAATCCAGTTCTGGTGAAGTAGGAAAGGTGACCTGCTTAACATCTTTCAATCATTAACTTGTGTAAACTTTATTAAGGATGACTTTATATTTCTCTCATCCAACAAGATGGAAGTTAATTCATTTCACAACTGGAGAGAGACAGGCTTGCATACAAATTCTTGAAGCCAAATATGTTCCTTGGTTATGTTTGGACCAAGATCCATGCTTTGTGGTCCATAAACTATAAAAGGAATGACCTGAAACCTAACCCAACAACCCCTCCCCTCCATTTCAAAGGAAACCGAGAACTGAAATTGAACTTTGCCATCCAGATCTGTGATTAACCTACAGCATAAGACAAGAGGCTTGTTACAACCTTAGAAAAACAAAGAGACTCTAAGCTGCCAGTGCACCTCTGAGTATTCCAAGAATTCAGACTACACATTTGTAGTGGTACAGAAAAACCAAAACACTTAAATCACTGCATTTCCATAAAGTTTATTTATTAAAACATAGGAAGGAAGGAAGTGATAGATTATTCATGAAGAAGAGGAAGAAATACATTAGTAAGATAATTTTGTGATTTTTGATATCTTTAAAGTTTAGCAAATGGGGGGGGGGTCATATTTGGTGCCAAATTGGAGGAAAAATACCACACACTTTAATATGTCAACTATATTAAAATCAGTCTTAGACACTGGGATTATGTACTAACCACAATATGATTAGAACTCCTATCCAGTACTTACACGATATTTACAAAAGATACCATGAACAAAATATACTGTAACACAAGTTAGATTGTAGAAATGAGTTTAAGAAGAAATAAGAAAGATAACAAAGAAGAATGGGATACTGAGCAAGATTTTTAAAGCTGTCTAAGAAGGGTTAGATAAATCTGTTGATAAAATTAATGAACTTAACATCTTCTGGACAGCTTTGGACAGTATGAACCAGGTCTGTTACATGGATATTAGTAATGGACAAAAAAAGATTGTGATCAATTGGGTACACAGAAAACTACCAGAGGTGCACCAATAAATCGGCATATATCGTATCAGCACTGATAAAAGGAAAATTGACATTATCAGCAATCGCCTTTTTTTGGCTGGTGCAGCTGATAACGTCATCAATAAATGCCATGTGCATGTGCGCACCTGCAGCACGCAAGCAGCCAGGAATGCAGCTCGGCAGCTTGGAGAGCAGCATCTGGCCAGTAAGTCTATGGGGGAAGAATGGGCATGGGGGTACAGATCGAGGCCCCCCACAGTGAGGAAGGGAGTGGGGCTGGGGCAGGTGCTGCCCAGCTGAGGCAGAGTGGGGCAGGGTGTGGGATTGAGCTGTGGGTGGCTCCTCCAGGGAGGGAGGGCTCCCTGCTGCTGTGCATACCCCTGGGGGAAGCATGGGGGTAACGTGCCCTGCAGATTGTGGTCAGGGTGAGGGTGGGCTGCTGACTGCGGGCTGCTCTGGCCTCTTCCTGGTCTGGGCAGGCTGGGCTCATGTGTGCAGGGCAGGAGGCAGTGACACTGGGAGGAGGGGCTACTGGGTGGCCAAGGCAAATTTTGATGTGGCTGTAGCTCCCCCTGTAGCCCCCACTCTCAGAGCCACTGCTGCCTGCAGCCCCAGCCCTGAACCTGCAGTGGGCCCACTGGGAAGAGGCCAGTGCAGTCCCTAGCCCTGAACCCACAGTGGGCAGCCTGCCCTCACCCAATGCACAAATCCAGAGGATACGTGCCTCCTATGTGTCCCCCAGGAGTTTGTGCAGGGGCAGGGAGTTCCCCACCGCCCCACCCCCTGAATTCCACCTGGACGAGCTGCCCATGGCTCCCGCCCCAGCCCAGCAGTGCCTGCCCCTGCCCCAGCCCAGCCCCATTTCCTCCCTTACCTTGGGGGCCACAATCTGCCCCCTCCATGCCCCTTTTCTTCTCCATACCTCCCCCCCACCATATACTTACCAGCTGGACACTGCTCCCCAAACTGCTGGGCTGTATATCAATTATCAGATCGGCATTGGCCAACATGGCTGATTAATATAATTGGCCATCAGCATCGGCCAAAAAAATCTTTACCGCTGCACCCCTAAAAATACTATTCCCTTGAATCCTCCCTTCCCCTCTCATAATTTGTGGTCCCCCTGGGTAGATATTCAGGCTTCTCCCTCTCACCTGCTTCTGTAGACATGCATGTATCAGCAAAGTCAAAAACTCTATGTAAAGTTGTGACAAAGTAACTCCACATTTGGGGAAAGGGAAGCAACATCCTGGGAAGATGAAAACATGTGAAAGCTGCCCAGGAACTGGGTGTAACTGCTGAATGCTGTAACCAGGAAAAGATAAGAGCTCAGAAACCTACAGGTTTCTCTTGTATTTAGTAAATGAGTGGACTGGAGAAAAATAATTTTAGGAAGAGGGCTTGAAGACCAGTGAACTTCTAGAGACTCAAATGTGAAATGCTGTTTTACTTGCATCACTTCTGACTGATTAAGCCACTGAACACGGGGCATTTGTCATCTGACCATTTCTTGAGCAACCCTAGCAACATACCCCTTTCATTTTAGGCGTGTTACTGGGTCCTGTAGCATCTGAAATGTGAGCTGATAGCACTTGAAGAATTTGGTACATCACAGCTTTGAACTGATGATAATTATATCCTAATAACAACTACAGATCCTGATGAACCTCTAGCCTTCTGGAGGATCAACTATTCATCTGAAAGCTTGGATTCTTATTTAAACATATTACAGTCTTTCTGGTGTGGACTATCATGAGGTTAACCTCCTGACTTCAAACCACATCACCCTGACTTGCCTTCTGTATATTCAGACATGACAAGTGGACAATGAAGCTTGCCTGGAAGCATTAACAAGAGAAAGGCAAGACCATACCTATGCACATGGTCTGGGTACATGTTCCTTATGCATTTGCCTCAGAGGCAAAAGGAACACTTTGAATATCAATTATGATTTTGTTGAATCTTAGCTCAAGGTTGTAAGTTGCTCTCACTGTTGTCAAACCTGTTGCTTGTTTCTCACGAGGAGGAAAACAAAAGATGAATCCATGAGAAAATAATGACACACACACAAAATACCATGAACTGTAATTGCCATGAAGATGTGCTTCACAGAATGCATTTCTAGGAATTTCAGCAAACAGGATGGTTTGTGCTGCCTGCCAAGTGCATCACTTTGTATACAGACGAATCCAGTCATAAAGAGCTGTCACTTTGGTGTATACACCAGGACGATTACGCCGAGCACATCCTTCACCCCAGCTCACAATTCCTGCGAGGTACCACCTATTTTCCTTTCCTATGCAGGCCAATGGACCTCCAGAATCACCCTAAAGAGAAGGATACAGTCCAGCCATTAGAACATACACAGAACACTTTAATCAATGTCAGGATATATCTGGATACTTACATTTTTACATAATTTCTCCCCCAACTTCTAATCATTATTTCCTATTATTAGACAATGTCTATATGTCAGAGTAATTTTATTTAACATTTTATCTCAACCAGTAAGACTCCAGCATGCAAATTAGCACTACAATGGCAAGAAAAAGGACAAAGGATATAAGGAAAGTGAGACTCACTAAACTCTCATGTCAAAATCATCATTCAACAAGTAACTGATCATAAAGCAGAACAGAGGGGAAAAAAGACATGAAAAAAGGGAACTGCCATCTGTGCTAACCAATAAATTATTAACTGGTATCAGGAAGAACATGGTGACAAAGTCAAGCAATGAGTCATAAACCTAAAAGTATGCATACAATTACACCCAGATAATACAGGGAGATATCACTAATACTTTCTTAGGCAAGACTGTGGCTAACTTTGTAGTCATACTGAATTATAAACACAATGCAGCATATTCTTATTCGTTCTACAAATTTAGTGCTCTAGCTTAGAGATGTCTTTCTGGAAAGGAATAGAAGTGTTCTGAGAAGTTACACAAGAATCACAAGTGTAAGATTACTTTCTTTTGAAATACAAGTCAGCCATCTATGTTTAGATACCCCAAGATCACAAATGATTTGGTGTTTTTAATTATTTTAAGCTTATTAGAGCAATTTCAGAACCATTAGCAGTTATATCTCTTAGCGCTTTTGAAGAATCAGAGAGGTTTCAGATTTGGGAAAGATAAACTTTCCCCCTTAAATGGGGGCAAAGGGAAGTGAAGGCAATTTTGCATCAGTAAACCTAACTTCAGTCACCAAAAATAAATTCCTTTAGACCACTAAGGGAAACTACTATAAAATGGGTATGCAACTGGCTGGGAAAAAAACCCAAACATTTTTCAAGAAGTGGTTATCAATGGCTTGCTCTCAAAATGGAAACATTTATCAGAGGGCAGGAGGTAGGGGTGTTCTTCTGATGCTTATCTTGAATCAAGTATTCAATGGTTGCATCTACATGTGCCAATCAAGGCAATTTAGTCCAATTTAAGGCACATTAAGGATGCATATTTACACGTGAGCCCTTAATGCACCTTAAAAATGGCAATTTTAGGCTATTTGTGTGTGAATAGCTGAAGTGCATTAACACACATGTAGACACGTTATGGTGCATTAATGCTGTGTATGATGAATCCTGTGTAAGATGCTCTGTATAACATGCACATGGCGTTAATGCACTCTAATGCATGCACACATAGATGCAAGCCTAAATTGCCTTAATGTGCATTAAGCTAATGCGCATTAAATTTAGGCATGCACCCAATGTTTTAATCAATTACTTGGATGACAGAGAATACACTTACTAAATTAGCAGGTACAAGGCTGGAAGGGATGGAACATATTTTTGAGGAGAGGTTTTAAAAATCAAAATGACAATTTGAAGAAAAAACCTGAAAATAATAGCTTGAATTCTATAAGAATGAATGCAAAGTATGACACTTGAGAAGGAATTGTCAGCTACATAAATACAACATGGGGGATAACTAGGTAGGCAGCAGTTTTGTAGAAAGTGAAGATGATTAACTAAATAGGAGTTACCAATGTCCTATTGTTGCAAAAACAGCCACCACACAGGGATATGTAAGCAGGAATATTGAATTGTATTCAGCAGTGAGAGGGCCTGAGCTGGATTTCAGTGTCCAGTTTAGGGTATTCACATGCAAAAAAGTTTGCCCAGTGCAGAAAGTTGATGGAAAGCAAGAAAAATTTTCATAAGATTTAGAAAATATGATCTCTGAGGAAAGATTGAAAGAATTAGGTTTGATTAGTAAAAGGCTGACAGAAGACAAAGTTAGAATGTTCAAGTACAAAAAAAAATTACAAACTGTTTGCCACATTCACTGGACTTAGAAGAAGTAATGAGCTTAGGTTGCAACAAGGGAGATTTAGGTCAGATAAAAGGAAAACTAGTTGTAAAGATAGTTAAACACAGGACTGGGTTATCTAAGAAGGCTGTGGACCCTTCATCATGTGGCATTTATAAAAGCAGGTTAGATGAATATCTAGGAACAGTTAAGGTATAGCTGATATGACCTTGGAGGAAGAAGATAAATCACATGTTCTCCCAAGGTTCCCTTGCATCCCTATCTTTTTTATTCCATGGGGGGTTTGCGGGGGGGTTGTTTGTTTGGTTGTTTGTGTGGTTGGTTGGTTGTTTTTTTTGTTTTTTGTTTTAAATACACTGCGACTACTTTGGTGAATCCATCTAGGCGCAGTTTAGGGATCCAGTTTGTTATTTGGAATGTGGTTCTGACAGTGAATTCTAGTCTAGGACACTAGGTTTTTTTGCTCTCTTTTGCTTCTGTTTTAAGCCCAAACTGAATGGAAGCAACAAGAGAAATTTTTGCTTTTGGCACAGGACTAAACGTGGAGAATCATTAAACCTTCATTATATATATCAATTTAATACAGCTAGAGCAAGAACCGCCCCGCTACCCAAGTAGGCTAGTATCTAAGCAAAGAATAGGCTTTGATCTCTTGACAAGGCTAACCACACAGGGCACTTGGCAAGGAGGACTGGAGATTATTAAGGGAAGGGTTTCTCACTAGTCTTTTGAGAGAAAAATAACAACAGACTTATTGTTCCAGAGGAAGAAAGCCATGTGCAGGCGGGATCGGAAAGGACTTTTTGATCCTTAAAAGTTTGACTTAAAACCATGAAACACTCAAGAACAATAAAGAAACCAAGGCAGATAAATGCAGACAGATGTACCATTGTTTCATGAAAATCTATACAGAAGTGTGAGGTGTAGATTCAACCCCCCTCCAGCTGAGTGATGTCTAGAACCCAGGCCTCCCACTTGATGGCTGAAAAGTACCATAAACATTAGGTTAATGGGCCAAATGAGGGCAGCGCCATTTCCTGCCACTGGGCCTTGGTTTACACTCAAGTCAATGCTCTTCTAAGATGTACTGGTTGAGGTAGACCTCTGAACAACCTAGAATCTAGATCCTAGATTTGGCAGATCTCTCCCCTCTGAGGTGGATAGATCCTGACAAAACAGACAAAAAAAAACTGCCCAGCATGAGAAGGGGAGAGCTATATGCCTCCAACATGTTGCAATAGGACTGGCCTCCAGAGGGGAGTATTTTTTGGGCAAGCAGCTGCAAAGTTTTTTAGATGTCCAGTAGGCAGATTAGATTTGAGCCATCAATCTTGCACATTCTTTTAAAATGAACATTTTTAAAATTCTGTCACTGCTTCTGACACTAGGTTGCCGTGTTAAGAGTCATATTCACAAGCCATGTTCTCCACCACATACGAATAATCAAATATTTCTGATAAACCAAAAGAAATTCTTCTTCAG